TTATGGCTAGGTTATGACAACGTTATGGCTAGGTTAAGACAACGTTATTACTAGGTTATTAAAACGTTATGGCTAGGTTATGACAACGTTATGGCTAGGTTCAGACAGCACACTTGGTTCAGACAACGTTACCCTTCAGGCAATCATTTTTGTTCCAGGACTCTAGTAAGCCTGGCTGGATGGCATATGCTGAGCTTTATAGTGTGTGTGTGAGAGGCTTAGGCCCAATCCGAATACTCCCACTTACCCCTTCCCCTTAGCCCTACCCCTTAATTTACCCCTTCCCCTTGGCCCTCGAAACCGAGTGGTAAGGGCTACGTTCCCCTACGAATTGGGACACCACTCGGTTTTGGCTACGTCATCATACATCGTCGCTAGCTGGCTGCTACGTAACCAGAGGCGACACAAATGTTGATCTCAAACTTCCGAGATGCAAAAAGAGTCTGGAAAAGTGTGTATGTCGATTGCGTGGATTTTAGTAGTTATGTTTTTGCGATTGTCTGCAACAAATCGCAGAAGTCAAGCGAGAAGAGGTCTACGACGCCTACGAATGCTGGTAGTTTAACTTATGGTATGTATCGATTGGTTGCAAACAACATTATCGTATTGTATTTAAAGTTCACAGAACTAACCAACAAGGTAGCAAACATTTTTCCCAACTCAGCCATTAATGGTGTAAAATTGTTTTATTTTCCAGACTGGTGGTCCAACAAGATACTGTGCCATAAACCCCAACACGTCTATACTGCGCATATGGTTCGATGTATGTAGTAGTTATATGTTTGGTGGCGGTGCATATGGATGCAGATGTTCTTCTGTGTACTATTGTTTTTAATGTTTTTGTAAAGCACACGTGCTATATAAATAAACCTGCTTGCTTACTACTGAAGGCTGTTTTCAATAAATATTTTCATCCACACTGCATGGTGTTTTGTATATCTGTTTCAGTGATCACTGTTTTAAATGTCATTGATCGATGTACAGAAACCCTTAATCAAAAACCTGTATTTATTGAACAACATTGTAAAACATATACAATTGTTAAATAACAGTACTATTTAAATTAAACGTGCTCACCAGTGTCCTGTATGATATCCAAATTATGTTGTACACCTAATCTTTATACAGTCTATGGTTGTACAGCATGAAACTTCTGTTAATTTTCTGCCCGAAAGCGAATTATTTGCCGGGTTTCCTCCGGCGTCCCTGTGTGATTCGGGACGGTATGTAAAGCACTTTAATCGCTATTCCAAACGCAACAGGTTATGTTATGCACTGATATGAATTATCTTCTAAAAGAGTCAACTGTAGACAAACATGCATTGAGTAAAGGTAGTCAGAGAAATACGGGACAAATTAGCAATGTATCTTTGGCGTTGAAAACTGTGAAAAAGTAGCGATTTAAAAAAAAACTTCAATTATTAAAATGGTTAAAAATATATATGTACGGGACTGAGTAGATCACAAAACAATTGTGTCGTAATTTTTAAATTCGCTATTTAATCCGAAAATACTACATTTATGGGTCTCTTTTGCTGATCTAGCAGCCATTGTTGACGTCTCGCAGTGTGTTCTGGGTACCCCTTGGTTTCAAGTGAGCTCTCGGAAAATCTTGGTTTCAAGGGGTATACAGCCCTTCGTCTTACCCCTTCGTCTTGATCAAAATGAGTATTCGGACAGCACTTGGTGTCGCGCGAACGCGCAAAACTAAGGGGAAGGGCTAAGGGGAAGGGGTAAGGGGGAGTATTCGGATTGGGCCTTAGCCTTGAGGTTGTTAAGGAACTAGAGAGACAGTAATGTATGACAGGCCAATTACTACCACCTCCTCCTCCCTCATCTCCTCGATCTCCTTTTCTCTGCTCCTTTCCTTTTTTATCTCCCCTGTCTTCTCCTTCTCTCCGCTTCTCTCTCCCCACATCTTCTCCCTCTTCATCCCTCCATCATTAGAACAGTCCCTGACAACAGCAGGGCAAAGGTCATTTACACAAGTATTCTGAGCATCCTATCTGAAGCCCGGATTTCCCCCTCTTGTTTCTCCCTCCACCCCCACCCCTCCCTCCACCCCTCCCTCCACCCCCACCCCTCCCTCCACCCCTCCCTCCACCTCCACCCCTCCCTCTACCCCCACCTCTCCCTCCACCTCCACCCCTCCCTCCACCCCTCTTGTTTCTCCCTCCACCTCCACCCCCACCCCTCCCTCTACCCCCACCCCTCCCTCCACCTCCACCCCTCCCTCCACCTCCACCCCTCCCTCCACCCCTCTTGTTTCTCCCTACACCTCCACCCCTCCCTCCACCCCTCCCTCCACCCCTCCCTCCACCCCCACCCTCCACCTCCACCCCTCCCTCCACCCCCACCCCTCCCCACCACCCCTCCCTCCACCTCCACCCCTCCCTCCACCTCCACCCCTCCCTCCACCCCTCTTGTTTCTCCCTACACCTCCCTCCACCCCTCCCCACCACCTCCACCCCTCCCTCCACCCCTCTTGTTTCTCCCTACACCTCCACCCCTCCATCCCTCCCTCCACCCCCCCCTCCACCCCCACCCCCTCCCTCCACCCCTCCCTCCACCTCCACCCTCCCTCCACCCCCACCCCCCTCCCTCCACCTCCACCCCTCCCTCCACCTCCACCCCTCTTGTCCATCCCTGCCTCCCTCCCTCCACCTCCACCCTCCCTCCACCCCCACCCCTCTCTCCACCTCCACCCCTCCCTCCACCTCCACCCCTCTTGTCCATCCCTGCCTCCCCTCCCTACACCTCCACCCCTCCCTCCACCCCTCCCTCCACCTCCACCCCTCCCTCCACCTCCACCCCTCTTGTCCATCCCTGCCTCCCTCCCTCCACCTCCACCCCTCCCTCCTTCCATGTATGTTTTCCCGGATGGTATTCAACCATAAAGCCAGTGTGTCCATGGAGGAATCTCCAAAGCATAACGGACAGCACACATTTATTTACAGATCTAGGATGTAACTGCATTATCCAGTACACTGAATACGAGGTTTAAAGACGCTTCTAAACATTTTCAGACTTCATTTGGCCTAAAAAAGTAGAAGAGAGGAGGACAGAGAAGGAGAGGACAGCGGAGGAGAGGACAGAGGAGGAGAGGAGAAGGTGAACCTTATTATGAGTGAAATCATAACAACAGAAATAGCATCCACACCCTGCTGGGGGACAAATACACAGACTAGGATCGACCTCTGGGGTGGAGGTAGAAGTGTGTGTGTGTTAGTGTGTGTGTGTGTCAGTATGTGAGTGTTGGTACGGTTATTAGTGTGTGTGTGTCAGTATGTGAGTGTGTGTGCGGTTATTAGTGTGTGTGTGTCAGTATGTGAGTGTGTGTGCGGTTATTAGTGTGTGTGTGTCAGTATGTGAGTGTGTGTGCGGTTATTAGTGTGTGAGTGTGTGTCAGTATGTGAGTGTTTGTGCGGTTATTAGTGTGTGAGTGTCAGTATGTGAGTGTTTGTGCGGTTATTAGTGTGTGTGTGTGTGTCAGTATGTGAGTGTTTGTGCGGTTATTAGTGTGTGTGTGTCAGTATGTGAGTGTGTGTGCGGTTATTAGTGTGTAAGTGTTGGTACGGTTATTAGTGTGTGAGTGTCAGTATGTGAGTGTTTGTACGGTTATTAGTGTGTGTGTGTCAGTATGTGAGTGTTTGTACGGTTATTAGTGTGTGTGTGTCAGTATGTGAGTGTTTGTGCGGTTATTAGTGTGTGTGTGTCAGTATGTGAGTGTTTGTGCGGTTATTAGTGTGTGTGTGTTGGTACGGTTATTAGTGTGTGAGTGTCAGTATGTGAGTGTTTGTACGGTTATTAGTGTGTGTGTGTCAGTATGTGAGTGTTTGTACGGTTATTAGTGTGTGAGTGTCAGTATGTGAGTGTTTGTGCGGTTATTAGTGTGTGTGTGTCAGTATGTGAGTGTGTGTGCGGTTATTAGTGTGTGTGTGTCAGTATGTGAGTGTGTGTGCGGTTATTAGTGTGTGAGTGTCAGTATGTGAGTGTTTGTACGGTTATTAGTGTGTGTGTGTCAGTATGTGAGTGTTTGTACGGTTATTAGTGTGTGAGTGTCAGTATGTGAGTGTTTGTGCGGTTATTAGTGTGTGTGTGTGTGTCAGTATGTGAGTGTTTGTGCGGTTATTAGTGTGTGAGTGTCAGTATGTGAGTGTTTGTACGGTTATTAGTGTGTGAGTGTCAGAATGTGAGTGTTTGTACGGTTTTTAGTGTGTGAGTGTTGGTATGGTTTTTAGTGTGTGTGTGTCAGTATGTGAGTGTTTGTGCGGTTATTAGTGTGTGAGTGTCAGTATGTGAGTGTTTGTACGGTTATTAGTGTGTGAGTGTTGGTATGGTTTTTAGTGTGTGTGTGTCAGTATGTGAGTGTGTGTGCGGTTATTAGTGTGTGTGTGTGTCAGTATGTGAGTGTTTGTACGGTTATTAGTGTGTGAGTGTCAGAATGTGAGTGTGTGTGCGGTTATTAGTGTGTGAGTGTCAGTATGTGAGTGTTTGTGCGGTTATTAGTGTGTGTGTGTGTCAGTATGTGAGTGTTTGTGCGGTTATTAGTGTGTGAGTGTCAGTATGTGAGTGTTTGTGCGGTTTTTAGTGTGTGAGTGTTGGTATGGTTTTTAGTGTGGGTGTGTCAGAATGTGAGTGTTGGTACGGTTATTAGTGTGTGTGTGTCAGTATGTGAGTGTTTGTGCGGTTATTAGTGTGTGAGTGTCAGTATGTGAGTGTTTGTACGGTTTGTGTGTGTCTCGGCATGTCATTGTGTATGAGTGTTGGTGTGTATGTGTTTGTTTGTGCGTGTTTGAGTGTGTGTATGCCAGGAATCGGTAAAAGGATAAATTGCTGAAAGACGGATAAAGGCCAGCTTGTCTTTGTTCAAGATTAAAGCAGAGAAAACAGATTAGCCTCAAACTGTGTCAGGGGCGACATGTATTTGTCTGTCTATATGTTTTTATTTAACCTTTATTTAACCAGGTGGGCCGATTGAAAACAATTTCTCATTTGCAACGGGCAGCTGGGATTTGAACACAGGACGGCATACACACAAAGAATGCACTCTAGCACTGAGCTACCAACTGCTCCTTTATGTCTGTCTATATGTCTGTCTATATGTCTGTCTATATGTCTGTCTATATGTCTGTCTATAAGTCTGTCTATATGTCTGTCTATATGTCTGTCTATATGTCTGTCTATATGTCTGTCTACATGTCTGTCTATATGTCTGTCTATATGTCTGTCTACATGTCTGCCTATATGTCTGTCTATATGTCTGTCTATATGTCTTTCTACATGTCTGTCTACATGTCTGTCTATATGTCTGTCTATATGTCTGTCTATATGTCTGTCTACATGTCTGTCTATATGTCTGTCTATATGTCTGTCTATATGTCTGTCTATATGTCTGTCTACATGTCTGTCTATATGTCTGTCTACATGTTTGTCTATATGTCTGTCTACATGTCTGTCTACATGTCTGTCTACATGTCTGTCTATATGTCTGTCTATATGTCTGTCTATATGTCTGTCTATATGTCTGTCTACATGTTTGTCTATATGTCTGTCTACATGTCTGTCTACATGTCTGTCTACATGTCTGCCTATATGTCTGTCTACATATCTGTCTACATGTCTGTCTATATGTCTGTCTATATGTCTGTCTACATTTCTGTCTATATGTCTGTCTATATGTCTGTCTATATGTCTGTCTACATGTCTGCCTATATGTCTGTCTATATGTCTGTCTATATGTCTTTCTACATGTCTGTCTACATGTCTGTCTATATGTCTGTCTATATGTCTGTCTATATGTCTGTCTACATGTCTGTCTATATGTCTGTCTATATGTCTGTCTATATGTCTGTCTATATGTCTGTCTACATGTCTGTCTATATGTCTGTCTACATGTTTGTCTATATGTCTGTCTACATGTCTGTCTACATGTCTGTCTACATGTCTGTCTATATGTCTGTCTATATGTCTGTCTATATGTCTGTCTATATGTCTGTCTACATGTTTGTCTATATGTCTGTCTACATGTCTGTCTACATGTCTGTCTACATGTCTGCCTATATGTCTGTCTACATATCTGTCTACATGTCTGTCTATATGTCTGTCTATATGTCTGTCTACATTTCTGTCTATATGTCTGTCTATATGTCTGTCTATATGTCTGTCTATATGTCTGTCTATATGTCTGTCTACATGTTTGTCCATATGTCTGTCTACATGTCTGTCTACATGTCTGTCTACAGGTCTGTCTACATGTTTGCCTATATGTCTGTCTACATATCTGTCTATATGTCTGTCTACATGTCTGTCTATATGTCTGTCTACATGTCTGTCTACATGTCTGTCTATATGTCTGTCTACATGTCTGTCTACATGTCTGTCTATATGTCTGTCTATATGTCTGTCTATATGTCTGTCTATATGTCTGTCTACATATCTGTCTACATGTCTGTCTACATGTCTGTCTACATGTCTGTCTACATGTCTGTCTATATGTCTGTCTATATGTCTGTCTACATGTCTGTCTACATGTCTGTCTATATGTCTGTCTATATGTCTGTCTATATGTCTGTCTACATGTCTGTCTATATGTCTGTCTATATGTCTGTCTCTATGTCTATTTTCCATAATCCCAGGGCCTGATTTCACTAATGAGGACTTGACTTATTGTGATAATCTTTTAAATTATACATCCTTCCCCACACAGACACACACTCACACACAGAGACCTCCCCCCCCACACACACACACACACACCGACACACACATAGACACACATACACCATCAGATAACACTGCACACTGAAATTACTCTTCCAATGGACTCCGTGTCTCGATTAAATACATTTATGAATAAATACAACTCATGCAGCTTGTGACACTTAAATTATAACAGTCCCTTTGGGTGCTAATTGATTATAAAAAGCAACCAATTAACAGAATATACTACAATGGTTAGCAAGAAAACTGTCTGATGATCAATCTTCCTCAAATAATGATAAAGAGACAACTGCCATTAAATCTTAAGTGCTTCTGAGTAATAGCCAAATGTTTCAGAACTGTGTTCCTCCAAACCCCTTGTTTCAGAACTGTGTTCCTCCAAACCCCTGGTTTCAGAACTGTGTTCCTCCAAACCCCAGGTTTCAGAACTGTGTTCCTCCAAACCCCAGGTTTCAGAACTGTGTTCCCCCAAACCCCTTGTTTCAGAACTGTGTTCCCCCAAACCCCTTGTTTCAGAACTGTGTTCCCTAAACCCCTTGTTTCAGAACTGTGTTCCCTAAACCCCTTTTTTCAGAACTGTGTTCCCTCAAACCCCTTGTTTCAGAACTGTGTTCCCTCAAACCCCTTGTTTCAGAACTGTGTTCCCCAAACCCCTTGTTTCAGAACTGTGTTCCCTAAACCCCTTGTTTCAGAACTGTGTTCCTCCAAACCCCTGGTTTCAGAACTGTGTTCCTCCAAACCCCAGGTTTCAGAACTGTGTTCCCCCAAACCCCTTGTTTCAGAACTGTGTTCCCCCAAACCCCTTGTTTCAGAACTGTGTTCCCTAAACCCCTTGTTTCAGAACTGTGTTCCCTAAACCCCTTTTTTCAGAACTGTGTTCCCTCAAACCCCTTGTTTCAGAACTGTGTTCCCTCAAACCCCTTGTTTCAGAACTGTGTTCCCCAAACCCCTTGTTTCGAACTGTGTTCCCTAAACCCCTTGTTTCAGAACTGTGTTCCCTAAACCCCTTTTTTCAGAACTGTGTTCCCTCAAACCCCTTGTTTCAGAACTGTGTTCCCTCAAACCCCTTGTTTCAGAACTGTGTTCCCCAAACCCCTTGTTTCAGAACTGTGTTCCCTCAAACCCCTTGTTTCAGAACTGTGTTCCCCAAACCCCTTGTTTCAGAACTGTGTTCCCTAAACCCCTTGTTTCAGAACTCTGTTCCCTAAACCCCTTGTTTCAGAACTGTGTTCCCTAAACCCCTTTTTTCAGAACTGTGTTCCCTCAAACCCCTTGTTTCAGAACTGTGTTCCCTCAAACCCCTTGTTTCAGAACTGTGTTCCCCAAACCCCTTGTTTCAGAACTGTGTTCCCTAAACCCCTTGTTTCAGAACTGTGTTCCTCCAAACCCCTTGTTTCAGAACTGTGTTCCCCAAACCCCTTGTTTCAGAACTGTGTTCCCTAAACCCCTTGTTTCAGAACTGTGTTCCCTAAACCCCTTGTTTCAGAACTGTGTTCCCTCAAACCCCTTTTTCAGAACTGTGTTCCCTCAAACCCCTTGTTTCAGAACTGTGTTCCCTCAAACCCCTTTTTCAGAACTGTGTTCCCTCAAACCCCTTGTTTCAGAACTGTGTTCCCTCAAACCCCTTGTTTCAGAACTGTGTTCCCCAAACCCCTTGTTTCAGAACTGTGTTCCCTAAACCCCTTGTTTCAGAACTGTGTTCCTCCAAACCCCTGGTTTCAGAACTGTGTTCCTCCAAACCCCAGGTTTCAGAACTGTGTTCCCCCAAACCCCTTGTTTCAGAACTGTGTTCCCCCAAACCCCTTGTTTCAGAACTGTGTTCCCTAAACCCCTTGTTTCAGAACTGTGTTCCCTAAACCCCTTTTTTCAGAACTGTGTTCCCTCAAACCCCTTGTTTCAGAACTGTGTTCCCTCAAACCCCTTGTTTCAGAACTGTGTTCCCCAAACCCCTTGTTTCGGAACTGTGTTCCCTAAACCCCTTGTTTCGGAACTGTGTTCCCTAAACCCCTTGTTTCAGAACTGTGTTCCCTAAACCCCTTGTTTCAGAACTGTGTTCCCTAAACCCCTTGTTTCAGAACTGTGTTCCCTCAAACCCCTTTTTTCAGAACTGTGTTCCCTCAAACCCCTTGTTTCAGAACTGTGTTCCCTCAAACCCCTTTTTCAGAACTGTGTTCCCTCAAACCCCTTGTTTCAGAACTGTGTTCCCTCAAACCCCTTGTTTCAGAACTGTGTTCCCCAAACCCCTTGTTTCAGAACTGTGTTCCCTAAACCCCTTGTTTCAGAACTGTGTTCCTCCAAACCCCTGGTTTCAGAACTGTGTTCCTCCAAACCCCAGGTTTCAGAACTGTGTTCCCCCAAACCCCTTGTTTCAGAACTGTGTTCCCCCAAACCCCTTGTTTCAGAACTGTGTTCCCTAAACCCCTTGTTTCAGAACTGTGTTCCCTAAACCCCTTTTTTCAGAACTGTGTTCCCTCAAACCCCTTGTTTCAGAACTGTGTTCCCTCAAACCCCTTGTTTCAGAACTGTGTTCCCCAAACCCCTTGTTTCGGAACTGTGTTCCCTAAACCCCTTGTTTCGGAACTGTGTTCCCTAAACCCCTTGTTTCAGAACTGTGTTCCCTAAACCCCTTTTTTCAGAACTGTGTTCCCTCAAACCCCTTGTTTCAGAACTGTGTTCCCTCAAACCCCTTGTTTCAGAACTGTGTTCCCCAAACCCCTTGTTTCAGAACTGTGTTCCCTCAAACCCCTTGTTTCAGAACTGTGTTCCCCAAACCCCTTGTTTCAGAACTGTGTTCCCTAAACCCCTTGTTTCAGAACTCTGTTCCCTAAACCCCTTGTTTCAGAACTGTGTTCCCTCAAACCCCTTTTTCAGAACTGTGTTCCCTCAAACCCCTTGTTTCAGAACTGTGTTCCCTCAAACCCCTTGTTTCAGAACTGTGTTCCCCAAACCCCTTGTTTCAGAACTGTGTTCCCTAAACCCCTTGTTTCAGAACTGTGTTCCCCAAACCCCTTGTTTCAGAACTGTGTTCCCTAAACCCCTTGTTTCAGAACTGTGTTCCCTAAACCCCTTGTTTCAGAACTGTGTTCCCTCAAACCCCTTTTTTCAGAACTGTGTTCCCTCAAACCCCTTGTTTCAGAACTGTGTTCCCTCAAACCCCTTGTTTCAGAACTGTGTTCCCCAAACCCCTTGTTTCAGAACTGTGTTACCTCAAACCCCTTGTTTCAGAACTGTGTTCCCCAAACCCCTTGTTTCAGAACTGTGTTCCCCAAACCCCTTGTTTCAGAACTGTGTTCCCTAAACCCCTTGTTTCAGAACTGTGTTCCCTCAAACCCCTTGTTTCAGAACTGTG